GCAGTAGCAGTAGCAGTAGCAGTGGCAGCAGCAGCAGTATCAGCAGCAGCAGCAGAGCAGCAGCAGCAGCAGCAGCAGCAACAGCAGTAGCAGCAGTAGCAGTAGCAGCAGCAGCAGCAACAGCAGCAACAGCAGCAGCACAGTAAAACCACTGTGGCAAAAGTTGCAGCAATAGTGGTAGCACTACATTTTCCCTCTCTCCCCTGCTTTATTGGTGCAGTGGAGGCAGTAGCAGCAGCAGTAGCAGTAGCAGTGGCAGCAGTAGCAACAGTAGCAGCAGCAGTAACAGCAGTAGCAGCAGTAGCAGCAGCAGTAGTAGCAGTAGCAGCAGTAGCAGCAGCAGTAGCAGTAGCAGTAGCAGTGGCAGCAGCAGCAGTATCAGCAGCAGCAGCAGCAGCAGCAGTAGCAGCAGTAGCAGCAGCAGCAGCAACAGTAGCAGCAGCAGTAGCAGCAATAGCATCAGCAGTAGCAGTAGCAGTAGCAGTGGCAGCAGCAGCAGTATCAGCAGCAGCAGCAGCAGCAGCAGTAGCAGCAGTAGCAGCAGTAGCAGCAGCAGTAGCAGCAGCAGCAGCAACAGTAGCAGCAGCAGTAGCAGCAATAGCAGCAGCAGTAGCAGTAGCAGTAGCAGCAGCAGCAGCAGCAGTAGCAGCAGCAGCAGTATATATTCCCTCTCCAGTCTTTATGGCGGCTGTGGCAGTGGAGGCAGAGGTCACGTCTTGAGTTGTGTGTTCAACATTCGGGTGATTTAGTTTTACGACCTGTACTCCAGACCCGACTCTGAGGTCAGTGCAAACCCACACAAGTGGCACCAAAGTGTGACCCCCACATCGCCGCGGTAACAACCAGGATTTACAGACCCTCTCAAACAGCGACATCACTGGGACTCAAAAGATGGCCGCTGTCAGAGATACCGAGTCCACGAAACAACGATGTATTCTAGGTCTTTAGGTAAACGTGAGGGAGAGAAGAAATAAAGTTATAAACAGTCTAAAGTCTGTTTCTTAACTTCAATCCCATCCACTTTATCAATATAGCACATTGTATCAAACTAGTTTCCAAAGGGCTGCACGGAGATAAAAAAGTAGGACATTTAAAATGACCTAATTGAATAACGTTTCTCATTTAATCTAAACAGTATTTTCCACTCTTTCATCCCACATTTCTCTTTATTATTAGTTTTTTGGTTAATCTTTTCTTTATTTATCACAACTTGGAACGTCCACGGGTGTGAATAAACCAAACGTGTTTACTAAAGTAACAAAGTAAGTATATAAGTGAGAAGTCTGCTGTGTCTTTCACCTTGAGCCAAAGCATATCAATCAATCAACCTGTATTTATAGAGCGCTTTTCCTACTCAGGGCAACACAAAGCGCCTCACAATCCACACCACACAAGGCACAAATCATCACCATTAAAAATACAATAAAAAACACACAGGTAATTAAAAACATTAAAACATTAAAATCAAATAGGTAATAAAAAACATTAAAATCCCAAAAGTAATTAAAAAATATTAAAGAGTTACAATAATAAATCATAACAAGGTGCGTTAAAAATATAAAATTATATGACGTCCTATTACTTCCAACGGCAATAAAAACCATTTTGATTTTGATTCTTATCTTGGGGGAACAAATGGGAGACCGAATTGACCACTTTGCCCTAAATCACCTCCGGGACGACTGCTGTGGTGATTTAGGGCTGCACAAAAACAAAGTGATTCGAATTAAAATAGACATTTGCCTATTTAAAAGTCATTTGTTTTGATTTTTCAATACAGCATTTTTTTCTCGGCAGCCAAACTACAATCAGGACAAAAACCCAGCACTAATTCCATCCATCAACAAATCAGTGCAGTTCCTTTAAAACTCTTCTTAAACCTCGAGTACAAGCACTTTGCGAGTACAAGCACTTTGTTCTTCCAGCTCTTACCGACCATAACGGACAGAGGGTGCTTCCAGTTCTCGTCCCGTGACATCAGCTGCTTTTACAAATTGCACAACACCCGACGTAGACGCAGAGAGAAAAAATATATTTTGAAGGATCTTAAAATCGTCAGGCAACACTTAAGGTCTGAGGCGGGATCAGGCAATAGCAGCGTACGGCTCCTGTAACGCCTCATTATCCCAATCCCACTGCAGCGTAAACAATAGTTAATGTGGAGACCTGTCAACACGGACTAGAGTTCTGGCGGCTCTTCACCTCTGTACGGATTAAGACTTCGCCGTGTTTCCTAAGAACTGAGCAGGGATTTTATTCTGACACGCAATGTTGTCGCTATTCACCGGACAATTCAACTGTAGAGAAACTCGGAGAGCAAAAAAGGAAAAAAAAAAGGTTTGGAAGCTTAGGAATTAAGCTGATGTGCAGGTGTTGGGTTCTAAAAGTTGTGGAAAAAAAAAAAATGAAAAATAAACAAAACAAATGTAGGGTGAGAAAATGTCGATATCACACATAACTTAAGTTATGTACCTGATATCGGAGAATTGGATCAAAAACAACCATGTAATAAATACAATAATTGATAATAGCTTTATTTAGGGGCACCAGGGAATAACTCCCAACTGATAACGTGCATATGACGTCACAATATCAATTAATTGGCTTAATCTCATGAGTCCTTTCATTATTTAATTAGCTAGTTAGTCCAATTCTCTTCAATAGAATCTGAAGATAGTGAATTCTTTTACAAATCAGTGACCCAATTTCTGGAGTTAAAAGTACAAATATCACTTTCAGACAAAGATGGTTTTGTAGATATGAAATATCTACAGGATGAAATATGCAAATTGTCAAGAATAACATGAAGGAAACGTTGATTTCCAGATACATTGTTAAAATGCTAGGCTAAAGTGAGCTAAGCAAGACCTTTGTCTATGAATGGATTGGTATAGGCTGAGGCCTGCATGTGTTCAGCCTTGGTCAGAGAAGTATTCTTTGAAGTATAGGTTTTAATAAAGCCAACAACTGTGTGTAGCAAGAGAGCAGATCATACAACCAGAATAGCCTTTGGTGAATAGCAGTCCTTGGGTCTTGATGGTGTTGGATGGAGGCTTCTTGTCCACGGGGCCTGGACCATGCGGCTGTATCATGTGGCTGAACCAAGTCCTCCCACGATCCACAGTCTAGGTGCCAAAACTCAGCAACTTCTTCAGGTTGAAGCTGGAGGCTATTGAAGGGTTGTGGAAGTCCTCTCAAACGTGGAGCTGAGGTTTGAGGCCATCTAAGAGGCCCAAAGCCCCTTGGTTGCCTGAGCAGAGCCCAGGGCAGAGCCCAGGGAGGTCTGGTCACTCCGTGGTTCCAAAGCAGACTAGTTTTTCTTCCCTGTGGGTCCTTGTAAGTCTTCACATTTTGTAGAGTCGTTGGGGGAAGGGTGTTGCCATGGCACTTATCTTAGGACATTCTTACCCACAATAAAACCTGAACCACAAGGATTTACACACAGTGGAGACAGAAGTTATAATATGTCTCAATATACAACAAAATGTCTTTGATTGAGGAAAGAGGTAATTTTAATTTATCCTACACAAACCATTATTCCATTGTGTTGTATTGCATGAAGATCTAACTCAGGGGTATCTTACCTGTAGCTCGGGAACTACCAGTAGCTCGCCAGCCCTTTCATGTAGCTCACCAAACGATTTAGAGTTTCACACCTGATCCTGATTGATTACATATCTATTTTAAGTTTAAATATAGGGTCGACAGTGGCTCAGTTGGTAGAGCGTAGGCCTTTGAGCCTGAAGGTCGTGGGTTTGAGCCCACCACAAGATCTACACTGACTCTCACTGATGACCTCCCCCACCCCCGGCCCCGAAATAGACAAAGGGGAAGAAAATGGATGGATAAATATAGAGTTATACAGTATCCTGGTATATTTTACATCTGGGAGTATCTGTTTGCCTCTTCTGTTGTATAAATGTAGCTCTCCGATCGAGGAAGGTTGGATACCCCTGATCTAACTAGTCCCTCACTCTCAAGACAGTTTGGGATGTATTTTCGGCGTCTATCACATCTTTAGACCAGATTTAGAGCAAAATAACAGAATATATTAGTATTTTGTCCTGTTTTGATTTTTAAATGGGAGTCACAATCAGGCTATGGTTAGAGTCAGGGTTAAGGATAGGCTTAGGAATATATACTTTGGTTAAGTTTAGGATTGTGGATAAGGCAGGGTTTAGCTTGTAGCAGCACAAAATACCAAATATTATAAAGAGTCCCAACTAAATGCACTCTCCTCAATCCGCAGAGGCAAGAAAACGATTAGAAATAGAAGTTTTGGACATATGTAATGTTCTGAACAAGAAGAAAGAGTCGAGGGGGAGTAATTATCAGTCCGACATGACCAAATCACTGCTCCCGCCTCCCACTCCTGTTTGCATCACAGACTAATCCATGACAACCACAAACAGATGAATCCATGGGAGGTGCAAAAGGTGTGAAATGTTTTTATAGATGCGACATATGCTAGATTATAATATATAGTTATCCTGGAGCTATATATAATCTACATAGCCTTGTATTACTATTAAAACATGTGCAAAACAATAGGTGTTTGGAAAGCCAGACCTGGTAACATCTATATAAACAGTGGGTCTCCATGGTTACGCCTATCACCAACTTTGTGTATTCATTTGACTACAACAAGGAGACATATTTGTAGTGTTGGGATTTGGATGTGTGTGTTTACTCTGGACAAGACAACATAATGGTGAGTCAAAACACAAATAATATATATATATTGATTTTGGCTGGTTTCAATTGAAGTCCAAAAAGAGAAATTATTGGAGTTTGAAGACTTTAACGTGAACCTTAAAGCTGGGAGGGTATTTTTGTTGCCCAAATACATATCATCTATATATCTGCTACTGTCTGACATTTCCTCTGTTTCTATGTGTTTATGTTTTAACTGTAACCTTTTGATATGACAATGAGTGATTTGAACCGGATTTTATGATTGTGTGTGTGTTTTTTATTACTGTCAAAATGACCCTCGCAAGATGCCAAGCTACTTTTCCAGAACGGCAGGGATTCTGAAATACGTGAGGGAATCAGAAGCCGGAGATTTGACCTTTGTGACGCAGGTATAAAGGCTGTAATTATATCTAAAAACACAACAATTCGTGACCTTATATTTGCACGTTTTTGAAGCCGGAAAACCAAACCGCTTATGTGATAAAGTGTGAACACTGTGGAGAAGAGATGTCGCCTTCACTGGAGGAAATGTACTTGTTTGATGCTGAGGTGAGACACAGACCAACAGGACACGTTTTATTTGAATTCACTGTAAAAAGTAGTGGCAAAAAGAAATTTGGCAAAAAGTATCTATCTATTTGAGCACATTTTGACTGCTTCAAAACAAGATTTGCTAATGGGACAAAGGTAAAGATACAGAGCTGTCTCCCTTGGATTGAGAAAATAACTAAATGGCTTTCTCTCATTGGAAAATCTGGTTTTAGGACAGTCAGAATGTGCTCAAATTTAGGCTAAAAACAGCAATTATTTCTCCATTCTTTATGATTTTTCGTGGTATAAGTTATAACCAATTTTGTGTATGTATTTTTAGACAGAGATAAAGTATTGCTGTGACAAGTGGCAGCAACTACACATGCTTCTGGTGAACATGACAAACATTTGGGATAACTGTCAAGTGCCTCAAGACGTCACCGCGCCGAGCAATGTGAACTTCAAGAGAGAAAACAACCAATTATTGAATTCTGCAAAAGAGTAAGAAGAGTTTAAAGTAAGGAACGGTCTTTTAAGTTCAAAAACATTAATAACAACATGTATTTTCTTTTTGAATTCAGGGTTAATTTGGAGTCAAACAAATTTGGAGATTTTATGTTTGAAGTGCCAATATTTGACAACGGTAGGTGGAATTGAACACTATTCAAAGTAGCAGTAATAGTAGTAGTTGTAGTGGTACTAGTAGTATCAGGAGTAGTACGAATGAGTAATCTTTTTTTTTACATAGCACTTTTCACAGAGTCACACAGACGCTTTGAAAGTAAGTAGTAGTAGTAGTTGTAGTAGTAGAAGCAGCAGAGGTATAGTAAGTAATATTAGCTTGTGGTGGTAGTAGGGGCAGCAGTAGTAGTAGTAGTGGCAGTGGAAGAAACAGTAGTAGTAGTAGAAGCAGTAGTAGCAGCCGTAGCAGTCAGTAATAGTTGCAGTAGTAGTAGTAGTAGTAGTAATAGTAGAAGCAGTAGTAGTAGTAGTAGAAGCAGTATTAGTAGTAGCAGTAGTAGTGTAGTGGTAGTAGTGGCAGAAGCAGTAGTAGTAGTGGCAGTAGAAGAAGCAGTATTAATAGTAGCAGAAGCAGTAGTAGCAGTCGTAGCAGTCACTTACAGTTGTAGTGGTGGTGGTGGTAGTAGTAGTATTAGTAGTAGTAAATAAGTAATGCATTTGTACAGTGCTTTTCACAGAGTCCAAGAGACACTTTACAAGTAAGTCGTAATAATAGGCAGAAGCAGCAGTACATGCAGTTGTAGTAGTAGTAGTAGTGGGAGTAGTATTAGTAGAATAACTGTATTGTCGCTTACAGATCCTCAAGGCGCAAATGTCAGGTGTTTCCGACTGTCCCGCCCCAAACACGGGAGCTGGGTCAGACTTCACAAGATCGACGAAAGGACGCCGTTTAGAGAATCAAACTTGAACCCGCATGAAATCTCTGCCCCCCCGTGTGAACATAAGCCTCTGGAGTTCGGCTTATGTCATCATCAGGTACAAGGTGAAGCTGCACTGTGTAGTTGTGTGTGTACTGGGTCCCAAACATTACAGGATTACTCCGCCGTTACCATAGCAATCCATTGTTTTCTAATAGCGCTTAGCATTCTAGTGATACAAGAATTTATTTGCCATTTGCAGTAAAACCACATTGGAATAACTGTGCAAGACTACCACAGTGTACGCAAGACTGCACATGATGAATATACAGTTTGTGTGTTTAGAATTTTACCATAAACTAGTTCCTATTTCTGGCCCTGGTCTGAACTGGATCCAGGTCAGGGCCAGTTTTCGACACCAGGTTCGAGGATTCTTTGAGTGGAAAACTAAAGGACTGGTTCTGAAATAGGAACCGTTCCAGAATCTGCACCAGCCTTGGGAAAAAAGGATTTGGATCATTCTTATTGAAAAAAAGTATATGAAGCATTTACCTCATACACAATTTCAACACAAATCAGATTTGAACCTTTTAGTACAATGTTATTCAAGAATAAAAATTCACCTCCGAAAAAAATGATAAAAGGGTTGGAATCAAGTCATTATCGTATTTTCTCATAAATGTCTTAAAGTTTAGAAATATCAAATGTTCCAAAATTCTAGTGTTTTTTAACTCCGCAGTAAATTTTTTGTTTGCAAAGAACTTTAAAATGTGGGTGATATACTGTACGGCCAAACAGCTGACTAAAAACATTTAAAATAGTTAAACATTTTCTTTTGTGTTTCCAAGGACGGCTTTGTGGATAAATATTACACTGACGGCCACAAATTCCTGTCGGTCCTGGACGACGGCTCGACCCAAGTCTTGTATCCTCCAAACCTCCAGATAAAGTGTTTGAAAAGCTGCTTCTCCTTCAGACCTTGACTTGACGATCCCAGTTACCCCTCTGGGCTCCTGGCCGTGCTCCTCGTCGTGACCAGAGCGCACGGAAGAGTCTGCATCGTGTACGACGAGAGCTCGGATCGACAAATCAGAGCCCTGTTCCAGTCGGATGGAAAAGGCACATGTTACCACAGCAACGGCAGCATATGGTACAAGCCGTTTATTAGTTTTTCTTCAACAAATTTCTGGTGAAGGGTCTAGGTTTTTTTTTGGGTCTGTCTGAATCAGTGAGCTCCAACCTGTTTCGATCGGCGAGCATTAATAAAACTGAAATTGCCTTAATGTGTGTATAGAATGTATCGTTATAATAACTATGGCAAATACTAAATATTCTTGTATTAGTGCACACAGCTATCTATTTAAAGAATTGTAAAAATCTATACAATCATAATGACTTATTTATTTTTGTATCGCCCTAAATCACTACAGCAGTTGTGAAGTCTCCGTGGACTTACCAAAGTTGTTGATCAGACAATCAAACAATTCAACGACAGCAAATGCAATATTAAAAAAACTCACAGGAGCCATCGGTCCAAGGGGGCGGGATGACCAATGTCCATAAATGTCTATAATTGTCCATAAATATCCATAAATATCCATAAATATCCATAAATATCCATAAATATCCATAAATATCCAAAAATGTGTATACATGTCCATAAATGTCCATGTCAAATGTTTACCCGACTCTTTTTTCCGTTGGGAGAAAACACAGTATGTATGAAAGAGGAAGATACCCCAGCTTTACAAATGAACAAATGTATACATATTTTTTTTATCATCTTATAGGTTGAATCTTAATAAACATGGAGGCCAGTGTTTGGATCCAGAGGGCAGCAGGGTCTGCAGATGGACATGGCACCAAAGCGGCTCCGCTCCTCTCAAACCCATCTTCTTCTTCCTCAACCCCGGAGTGGGGGTTCGACTTCTGGGAAAGAAGCAGGTTTTTGTGTCCTTCCTGGCGAACGGCAAACAGGCCAAGTTCAATGTCGGGGCGTGGTGTGAGAAGGTATGTTCATGAAGAGAAGTGAATATACAAAATGGCTTGGTTAGTACTGTGATGGGAGACGTCTGGGAACGTGCACATTGCCAAGAATGACTCTGGTGTGTGAGTGGATGGTTGGTCGTGGTCGTTGGGGGCTGATAGCACATACTGGGTGTTAGTGTGCCCCAAGGCTGCTGTCGCTCAAGGAGTAGTTTTGTTGTGTGGTGAAGTGAAGGAGGACCCAAAAAGGAATGCAAAAATAATCATTTCATCAAAAGAATAAAATGAAAGTCCAGGGTTAAAGCTAACAAAAAAAATTCAACTCAGGAACTAGAAAAACGAACGAACAAAGACAATGGAAGGGGAGAGGAGCACAGGTACATATAAACACAAAGAGACACAGGTAAAACATTTTAGGGCGGGGAAAACAATGAACCAGGGGAAAAGGACAGGAAGTAAAACTGAAGAACACTGAAGTCAAAATAACAAAAAATCCACATCATGACAAGTTTATCACCACCGTGCATGAAGTGGATCAATAATAATATTGATAATAATACATTTTATTCAAAAGCGCCTTTCAAAACACCCAAGGAAACTGTACAGGACATAAAAAAATCATTAAAAACAGGAGTAACAGAATAAAACAGTAGTGCAAAATGGAATGGTGGGTGTGTGTGTGTTAGATGGGGTAGGACAGTCTGAACAGATGGGTTTTGAGTCTGGATTTGAAGAGTGGAAGAGAGTCAATGATACGGAGGTCAGGGGGGAGAGAGTTCCAGAGCTGGGGGCTAGAGTGGCTGAAGGCTCTGTCCCACGGTGATGAGTCTGGCTGGGGGGACGGAGAGTGTGAGAGTGGAGGAGGAGCGGAGTGGCAGGGTGGAGGTGGTCAGATAAGTATGGAGGGGACAGGTTGTGAAGTAGCAGGTGAAGCGTCTTTTAGCGTCCAAAAAGAGCTATATAAAACTGAAAAATTTTGATTGTTACTTGAGATTTGGCGAAAGATTAAGTAATGTAAAACAACAAATATATCACTGGTTTGATTATGTTTATGACTAGTTACAGCCATCCATACCTTGAATTAAAACAGAAAAATAAACTAAGATAGTAATAATTTTGAACCGTTTATGAAAGTTTGTAGAATGTTTATGGAAATGTGTACAATGTTCTGTTTTTTAAAGGGTAACTGTAAAGATGTAGAAGCTCCTCTGAAATTGTCCAGAGAAGAACTTTATGCCTTGGAAGCCAGAAGGAGGGCAAACCATCTCATCCAGAAGATTCACCAGTTCACATGCTCCACTTCTCGTTTGATGAATCCAAACGCCGCTCTCCACCGCGGCGTCCAGCCTCAGAAAGTGAAAAACTCTAAAACAATATGAAGTTTGACTGTGACTCAAAACGCCCTGAGGGATCCCCCAGAATAAAGCCTGAACATTAGAACCGAAAGAAGATGCATTTTTCTGTGTTGCACTTTGTATGCAAGACTAGAATAAAAGTAAAAGCACAGAGAATGTTAGTTCAAAGAAGAAGGGAGACATTTATTGTATCTAAAAGTTCATACGGATCAAGTTGCTTCTGCAGTTGTAGATCAGTGGTTCTCAACAAGGGGTCATACGGCAGGTCTCCGAAATGTGGATATTTTGAACATTCTGGATGAGAATCGGCTTCCACCCTAAGCTCACAAGGCTCTCTCTTGGATGCAAATATTTCCTGATTGCGATTGAGAACTTAATCAAGAGATACTTGTAGAATGGACCTCTTATAGTCTCTCCAGTTTTAAGTGTATTAGGTCAGGCTGTATTTATTAGTAACGCCAATCACTTTGAAATGTCAGTAGTGTGGTCGAGGTCGAGGTAGGTGGACTGGACATGTATGTTTATAAGTGCCAGTTTCCCGCCTTTTTGTTTCAACACTCTCTATCTACAGACAGTCATTCTCCCAGAAAAACATCAGAAACCCCAGCTTTAATTGCCAACGCTTCCATTCAAAGTGTCTTTTTGCAGATGTCTCTCGCGGCGCAGTCGGGCCTATAAACGCTCTCTTCTTCACACGGTGTTCCCAACGGTTCAAGTCAACACAAAAGCCTAAAACTATAAACAAGTGTCTCTGTATTCCACATCCTGTGACTTGTCTCATTTGTAGGCTTGACCTTCAGGGCCACTGTACGTCATAAAACCAAAACCAAACCCCGGATTTATCATATGATCTTACTCGTTTTGAAGACAAAGAACACAGAGCATTTGGGACTTTTGAGAACTTTGCACAATTTGTTTGCGTAATGACTGCAAAAAAAAAAAAAAAAAAAGGGTGCAGGTCAAAGAGCGAGGAGTTATTGTCCGCTGAAAATATAAAATGAAAAGTATATTAAAAAGTAGTATCTTGCCGATGCACGTGGGTCTAAGGACAGAGGTGATGATCCAGGACATTTAAGAACATATATCATATATTTACTATACATTTTTATGGACATTGGTCATTCGTCCCTTATGGACCTATGGCTCTATATGTTTTCGACTATTGCACATTTCCTGTGTTTGAACTTTGATTCTTTGCGTTGCGTTGATTCTCTGCGTTGGCAAATTGACACATTTGTAAAGTCCTCTGACATAAAAGGCTCTTTCTGTTGGGACAAACAACATCTAGCAATTGCAAAATAGTGAGACACCCCTGCTTTAACTTGTGCTACCCCTGGGTCAATTTACCCACAACAAACTATTAAAAGTAGAAGAAAAATATAAAAATTAGGGTCTATAAGGATATAAATGATTCAGGGCCGGTCAAGGCAGGTAATATCATCAAAATTCAGCTTTAAATGTTTTATTTAGGGTATTTTTGAATACTGTGGCGGGGGTAATTTTGATCAGAGGATAACGCAAGGGTTACCACTTTAGAAAAAACCAACTCACCCAAGGCATGTTAAAAAATACATTCAAAAGAGCACACTGGACGATTGTAAAAAACCCAGTTAATCCTACACTTTCTCAGTGTTAAGGTCCTCAAATGTGATTCATATCTTTGTCCTTTCTGCGGCTCTGAGGTCTTGTGATCTCTGCTCGGGTCGGTGCTTTTCTTCAGGTCACGGTTGAACTTCTCACGTTGACGTTAGCTGCAGCTCAGAGGGGCTGTGTTCTCATTACATCATTCAACTCCAGTCTAAAGATCCCAGTGTGGCTACCAGAGTGCTCACAAAAGTACCTGTAAAAATATACGGTAACTTTAGGCTGCATATGGGAATGGATAATGCAAACCATAAATACTGTAGTTCTATAAAACCTATAGGGACGTACTACTGGGAGAGTTTTTGCCCCATTCACTTAATGAAAAGTAACTCTACTCTGTAATAATTTGTGTCAGACTCACCATTTTGGACTTGAAAATCCATGGTACTGCTGTGTATGATACTGCAATTTTTTTGTCTTTTTTCAATCTAGGTGTATCCCCTTACATCTGACCAATCAGGTGCCTCCTCTCCCAGAATCTGGCTTTGGCTAGTGAGTGAGAAGAACAAATCCGTCTCCCTCCTAATTGGCTCTTCGGTTGCTAGGTTGTTGCTACCCTCATATTTGGCTACAGATACCCACCCATGAAGCCTGTTTGAGTTAGCTATGGGTGACCTCAGCACTAGCTCAGTCCAGTCTCTAGTCTAGTCTATTTAAGGCACAAACAATATGACCCCCATAGTTCCAAACCCGGACAAAGGAGAAGGAAATATCTTTTAACTTTTAATTGACGCAAAAGACGTGTCCAAAACAATGTAAGAAACTATGAAATGTTCAAAGTTTGACCACAGCAAACTCAATTTTCATGTGCAATATTCCATTGTAGGAGTCAGACCTGAAGTCCTGAGATTCTGCAAGATTTGTTTTAACTATAATTACTTTTTCTCATGATTTCATTCTTGTAATAAAAAGCATAAAACACTGGCACCGCCCATTCTCTTTGTTTCCCTCGGAGCTTAATCTCAGAGCTCTGACATTAACTTTTCTTCTGCTCTAATGGAAATGCTGGCCACGGTACAAAGAGGGTCAAGTGTGTCCGCCGCTGCTCCGACCCTTAAAGGTAACAATTTAAGGCGCTTATGTAACGCAGGACTCGAGGGAATGTCCGACGCTTATCAATGGCCTCCTCTTTACGTGTGTTTATTTGGAAACAAAATTAGCGCTGCTGCTATGAGAGGATCGGACAATTCCCCCACTGTGCCCTGGGCCGCTGCTATGTGGGGCATGTGACCTGAGATGGTGACGCCAGGGGCCAAAACAACCACAAAATACACAAAAAAACAACTTTAAAAGCTGCGTGACCCATGTTATCCCCAAGATCAGGCACGTCCAAACTCAGGCCCTTGGGCCAAATGCGGCCCGCTGTGTCATTTTAAAGCGGCCCTCTGGTGTGGACTTTTTGTTGGTTTCTTTAGAATTTAAGTAGTCCTCTTACTAAAAAGTTTAAACACCCCTGCCCAAGATGAACATTCAAAGCTGGGGGTACCTTAACTACTACAACAATAATAATAATGATTTGAATTTTGAAACCCACCAAGGATTTGACCCTATCGCCGAAAGACCAGTGTCATGGAACGTAAAGCCGCCGTCTTCCACTCATACAGCCGCTCATACAGCCGCTCATACAGCCGCTCATACAGCCGCTCATACAGCCGCTCATACAGCCGCTCATACAGCCGCTCATACAGCCGCTCATACAGCCGCTCATACAGCCACTGGGTCTCTACAAAGTCACATATGCAAAAAATATATAACTTTTTTTTCTCACATACAAAAGTAAACACTGTCCCTTTAAACAATGCATTGATGAATGAACTGCTACAAAGCGTTTTACTTCCTTATTTGTAAATGATAGATTTTTGAATACAGACTTGATTCGGTCTTGATTTGGTTTTTATTACTACCGTAGCAATTATCCCTGCATTGCGAGACCTTCTGTGTACACACAAAGACACACAAATGGGCAACTCTGAAACACGTTTTTAAACTATTCGCAATTTGTCGATCTAAGCACAATCGCAAATGGAAATCCTCACCGCAGCTTCATGTTTTATGGGTTATTACGAAGAAGTGATAAACCAGTGAGGACTTGCTTTGGGCTGGGTCTGGTTCAGACTCAAAGTGGGAAAACAGAGCGGGATGAAATTCTAGCATTATGGGTTGAGAAATGAAACCCAAGTCTAGACAGGAATTGTGAAATTTGAAAGGGTTTTTGGCTGAAATGTGTCCAAACTTTGATAGAATTGTAAAATGTTATGGTCAGCACAGATCGTGTTACTTTAGGAGCACTGGTTGTTCCGTACATTTGGGACAAACTCATCTCATAGAACTTTGTGAGAACCATTCAAAACCATATTAACTCATTGACTGCTATTGACATATTTGTCTGAGACCCTCTATTCGACTGGGGATTACAGGAAAATAAAAATAGCTGAAATCAAACTTATTTTTGCTGATGAAAGTAGACAAATCAGTCTTTCAGAATCTGGTTTCACATTTCACATAGTCTTAGGAAATAATATTCTGCGGGTCTTGAGAATCAGTGAAATCATCAAAAACGGCTGGCAGTCAATTGGTTAATATTAAGGACAGAGGCACTAAATCGTACTAAAGAAATACCTTTTAAACCATGGCTTGCATCTTTGCAAGCCATGGTTTGCACTGTATTGATATTGTGTGATAGATTTCATGGGACATTTAAGCAAGAAGATTGATCAATTCTCACATGTCGATGGATTACATATAAAACGTACAAGATCAATGCAATTTACATCATTAACAAAGGAAACAGAAATGTATGAAATGAAAGGAGGTTTTGTCTTTTGCCCGTCCATCTCTCCATCGAATTGACTTCAATTCCAGGTGTGGCTCAAAGTGCAGATGGATAATTATTGTTTTCTAAGTCTCTTTTGACATTTTCCATTCTATTACCTCTGCCCTCACTGGGGAGAGGTTTTGAGTTTGTTCACACCAGGACAATAACTCGGAAAGGCAATTCTTTTGTGACTTTTCTTGTGAAACTGTTGAACTCTGATGAAGGTGTTTAAAACTCATAATTGTGTTGTTTTATGATGCATTTTTACTGACCTCCTGTGAACTGAAATGGCAAACTCACAGTGATCGTACAGACTGACAGCTCTGGGATCGCTGCAAATGATTTTCCCACTTGGATCAATGCAGTTTTCCGACTCTGGTTTGGATTCTAACAAGTTTAATGAGGATTCAGACAGAATTCAGACAGAAAGCATTAAGCACATTCAGACTGCCTTAACACAAGATTTTAGTACATGTTTACACTTTAGCAGCGAGATTAGCTCGACGCAGTGAGCTCTGGCAACCTGGATCATGGACTGGATCCAAATATCTCGGCTGAACTACTGGTATCAGTTAAAGAAGTATTGGAAAGGAGCATGTTTTATTAATGCCTTTTGACAGATTAGGGCCCTTTAATGATGACTTGACATGAAAATCTTAATGAAGACTAAATGGCTTTATCCAAATGGCAAATCTTGTTTTAACACAGTCAGAATGTGCTTGAATGTAGATTAAAAAACACTAAATTCAAGAAATTATAACAGCATATTTTATATTGTTTGCAGTGTAAAGTCTGTGTAACTTCAGTGTTTAGTGTTTGTTATTTCCGCAGCAGAGAGAGACGAGGGGGGAGACGAGGTGTAGCGGCTGCGAACACAAAACCAACAGAGAAACAAGAACATTTATAAACGGCGATATCTTCACCACGTGTTTATATCCTTGTGCTCCTCATGTAATTATAAAACAGTAAAACAAAAACATGTGGCGGACACGTGTGGAGCCGGTCCCGGAGCTCGACCAGGAGGATCTGCAGCATGTTTTACTATTATAGATTTGAATTGAGCATTAGCAAAAACAGATACATACCATTGGACAAGTTTTTGAAAGGATTACAATGTGCTTTTTGTAAGAGATCTATCTATTTCGGTGCCATCCAAATATCTTGTATCTTGTATTTTTTTCCTCCCCAAATGTACTCATTATTTCATATTATCTTTTCATTTATGCCATTTTCAAAAACAAAAAAGGCTGACTATCATGCATACACTGACAAGTTTGAAAAGGGTTTAGACTGAAGTTTACATTTATTTTGCTTAAATCCTTCTTATTTCATGGTAAGGTAAGGGAAGGCAAGTTTATTTGTATTACGTAGTTCCTCACATGGTAACGCCAGCCCCTCACTAATCCTCCATTTTGAGAAAGACTGTTCCAGGTTGTAGCTGTATGGAGAAATTGCCAGTGAGTTTAATCAAATGTTCCTAATCCCCAATGGGAAATGTCATGCCTTATTTCAAGCTAAATACATATAGTACCATGTCATTTTTTAAAGAAAGTTACACCTTGTCACGTATATGAAGCTAAAGCCAAAATTCAGACTAAGAAATAAGCTCCATCCAAGCAGCAGCTTCATTCATGCTGCAACCCTCCTCCTCCCCGTCTCCACCTCGTTCCAGGCCAGCTCTTTCATCGTTCTCCTAGCTTCCACCACCAGGGTCTAGGCCCCGGGGGATTTCATCATAATCTCTTTCCCCTTCTGCGATTGTGCAGTGCTCTGCCGGGGTCTTAGCGCCAAATCCTAACCACATTTCTGTACAGCGACAATAAATGTAATTGTCAGGGCAAAACATTTTAATCTCAAGATGTTAACTTGTTTTTATATACTTTCTATTGTATGTTTTGTGTTTTTATGTTGGTGTGCTTTAAACATATTTTGTTAAATGTTACCCCTTTTACCCCTTTGACTGGTTTGACTGGTCGCACCTACACTCAGACTCTCAGATACTTTTTAAAACCTGTAAATCTTGAAAATACTGTCCTCAGAGTCATATGTGTAATTTATGTAGTGTCCGATTACTTGCCAGCTAATATACAAATCTAAAAATATTCGTCTTTTGTCTGCTCGAGTCTCTCCAGATTGAATAAGCAAAATACAACATACAAGATATTTTTGACCTAATAATGAGTTAAAATATGACTAGATACTAATTCTGGGCCGTCTCCTTCAGCCTGTCACCTCCAGCCTTCTCACATGCAGTCATTTGCGGCTGGAACATGTTGTTGTGACTAACTCCTCGGACTTGGATGACATCACAGTCTGGTCTGGATGGTCCGGTCACAGTCCTGCTCTCCTCACATACCACAGGTGCCACTCATTTCCTCCTGTTTATAATGAATGAAGGAATGACCACTGGGAGAACCGCATCAGCCCATTTATCAAGTATTTCCACCTCTTTATGAGTCCTGTGGCATTCCCCGAATTCTTCAGAGGCAACAGTAGACAAAACAAACTCTTTCTCTCATAGACACAACACAAACAAGATTCTTTTGATCAAGTAAGAAGTAAAGAAATATAGGTCTACATTTGAGCTCATGAGTTTACACACATTGGAAGAATTTATGATTTCTTGGGATATTTTTCAGCTAATACAAAAGATCAGAGGTTGTTTTTGCCAATTCAAGGTTGGCTGTTGTGTGAGGCCATTTATTGTAAAGCATGGTTGGATTTTGTACCATTCCAACTTGTTTGTGTCAGGTTTTGTGAGTCCAAAGTCACCAGGATTTGATCGCTTTTAATATTGGCCATTTGGGTACTTTCTGATATGACTCTGAGCAGAGTAACGACAGCTGTTATCTATAAATTCATCCATTTTCTTTCGCTTTATCCATTGCCAGGTCGCAGGGGCAGCAGAGTGAGCATAGACGCCCAGACTTCCCTCTCCCACACACGCCTCCTCCAGGTCGTCTGGGGGAATCCTGGGGCGTTTCAAAACACTTCCCCTGTTAGGTGTCTAGAAGCATCCAAAACAGATGCCCGAGCCACCTCAACTGGCTTCTCTCGACGTGGAGAAGCGGTGGCTCTACTCGGAGCTCCTGCCGTGTGACTGAGCGTCTCACCCTCTCTTCGGGAGCGCCCAGACACTCTGCGGAGGGAGCTCATGTGGACTGCTTTGTATCTGTGATCTTGTCTTTCAGGTCCTTACCCAAAGCTCACGACCAGAGGTGAGGGAGGGAACGTATATTGACCGATAAATGGAGAGCTCTGATTGTAGACGCTGCTCCTTCTTCACAGTTCTTAGGATTTTTATGCATTAAGATTTGTTATGAATACTGTACCTTTATGACTATTCTTTTCTTGTTTATAACTTGTATTCAAAACAAGTCATAACAAAGCAAATTCCTAAGCTTATTTCTTCCTGTTACTTAAAAATGGCATAAAAAACAATTTAGATTCTGATTCTGGAGTGACTTTCTCTACACATCCCGGCCCTGTCTCTCCCACACTGGTCAGTACAGGGCCCTCAGAGTCGCTCTTTCATTCCCTCGTGAGCGTGTTTTGGATGAAGTGTGAAGCATGCTTGGTATTTGTGACGCGGCGCTCTGGTATGTGGCTCTGGGGTTTGCCGTGGGCTGGGCTCCTGCTGCAGGTAAACGTCCATCATGTTTCCCACACTTTTGACTGGAGCCGAAGTATGAAACTGCCCCGAGGGAAAGCACAGCAGCCAACATTATCTGAACCAGAAATTCAGCTCTATTTTTGAGTCTGGTTGCACGGCAATACAAAAATGCTTCTCTAAATGATTTACTGAACTTGGACTACTCTAGTAGTGGCAATAACAGTGACAAGTGAACTGATACTACTGCAAATATTACAAACATGAGGGATAATATTTTATATATATGGATACAAGAAACTGAAAATCTTTCTTTCTATTTTTTTTTATCTATACCTATCTATTTTTGTGTAAATAATCTGACTTAAAGCAGACATTTTTTTGTGCCAACAGAAATAATTTGGTAAAAAAAAAAAACCATTAAAGCTAAGTATTAAATAATGTATATATTAAATTTGCGATTGCAGATGCTTTCTTTCTACTGCTTTTTGCTAGAGTAAAGGGCACGATTTAACAATTAGAAGGAGGAAATCCTTGGAAATGAGAAGCCATTTAGAGACTAATTCAATTATGAAGAAAAGCTACAGACCAAAGACAACATTTGAAATATACAACAAGTATAGATACCATCAACTTGAGGAAACACAGCTCTGTCGTATCAGCGAGGACAATCAGGTTATACTCTGCAGTTTGGATTGTCCAATCACCACACTTCATCTCCACTGAGGATAAAGAACCTTCAGAGTGTATGTAAACAAGCCACTGTTTCTGCAAAGAGCCAGAGTGCAGCTGTAGTTACTGAAATACTAAGGCAGCGGGTTTCATGTGAGGGACGCAGTATCTCCTCTGTCCAGTCCACGGTGTCACCTGTTTTTACAACAAACAGGAGTCATTTACAAATGATTGACAAGAAAAACCTAATTTATAAAACAATGAGATGAAATGAATGTTTTAAACCCATTGTGAAAGTTTTAAACCTGTTGTGAGCCAATTCAAGAGCAAATTCAAAGCTAGCTCATCCGTCTAAAGCACACTGGATTGCATTTGTGACTGAAATGTGAGGAGCACAGGACCTCGCCTCCTACTGGGACTCTGAGGAGCACAGGGACTGGCCTCCTGCTGTGACTCTGAGGAGCACAGGGACTGGCCTCCTGCTGTGACTCTGAGGAGCACAGGGACTGGCCTCCTGCTGGTGCCCAGAGTCAGGACATGGGGAGTCAGTATTTCAGATTCATGCAGCTAAAATATGCATCCTCAAATTACGAGACAAGGTTCTATTCTGTCAATGTAAAACAGTAAAATACACATTTTACAGTTTCATAGTAACTTTTAAAATCTGCTATTGGATATTTCAGTATGCTATTGATATTGACTAGTGGTAGTTGTAGTTGTAGTTGTAGTTTCGTAGTGGTAGTGGTAGTAGTAGTAGTTGTAGCATAAGTAGCACAAAAGAAAGTAGTAGTAGTATAAACATAATCAGTGAGGACAAATGTGCAAAAAAGTGCAATATTGAGGCTTATAATTGTGTTTATTAAACACAAAAGTAATTTATTTTCATTTCATTTCATATGCTGCTAGTTTCCCTAAAAAAGCCAAACAAACAATATAAAAAACATGTTCTGAAAAGTTAAATTAAATATTACAATAAAAAAACCTGTACCTCAGCTTTAACACTTCTCGTAAACACATGTGTCATCCTCACTAATCTACAAACAAAGCACTGATACTAAACCGATCGACTTCTGCATTCAATCTCCACCTCCAGACACTTTCAGCTCCATCCATGATAGAAACTCACTCTGGCCCAGTCCCCGCCCCTGCTCTCCTCTGATTGGCCGCGGCACACTGGAGGGCGTGGCTTCGGTCTGAATGGACTGTGGGAATCTTGCGCACGCTGCAAACCGCTTTCAGACCGTGTGCGCCCGTGTGCCAAACCAAAACCTCTGCTCCATCCTCTTGCTATTTTGGATCCAGCGTGTGGCAACTCCTCTACCATGCGAATTCTAACCTAACTGGAGTAAAACTGAGTATTTGCTGTGCGTCGGACCGTGCGTAAAAAACAAACTAACTGCATTATTCACTTTTGTCAATCCGTTTTGTTTTGGACCCGATGCCTGACTTTGCAAACATGAGCAAAAACGGGATGCTGACCAAAATCCACACACGAATAAGAAGCGACCCCTTCACGGCGAATTACGACTTGGCTGGAAAAGAGCTGGGCAGGTAAGCAATGTCTTATCTATGCGCGTAATGTCATCCATCCAAACTCTATCCACGGCTTTAACCCTGGCGACAAAATCCCATCATAATCCAGGCGATTATGTTTGCCTTCTTGCACGTGCTGGCAGGAAGCGTGTTGGGTTTAATTAATAGAAAGTCTCACATACTTTGGAGACTTTGTAGACTTTGCTGGAGTTTGGAAAATGTTTGTAAAGCAGCAGCCAGACACGAATTGTTTTGTCAATGCCAAATGGTCACGTTGGAAATAGTTGCCCACCAGCCAAATCTGCCTCTGGATCAATCCCATTCACGTTTGCACTTGGTCATAGGCTGCAGTTGTGTTGCCTTTAAATGCTTTTCAACGCTTTTAAGACTTAATTTCACTTGTTGGATATGGCACCCAGTAAATTCAGTCCTGGTTTTAAGCTTAAATTTATGGTTTTTTTCAACTGAAGCTGGGAGAACTTCGGTCCTCCACGATTCCAACCTCAAAACATAACTCACGTTTCTTCATTATTATCATTGTTTATCATAATGTGTTTGATTTTTGACTTATAAATAACAAATCAGTATTATGTAATATCGTCTGAGTTCTAACAACCATATTTTTGTTCAACTCGCACCTTTAAAACAGTCTCATAAATGACTTGAAAAATATTCTTTCTCAGAACACACAACTTAGCATCACTGTCACACAATCATTTGAAAAATCTTGCTACCACCACAGCAGAAGTAACACTGTATTAATTTACAGATATGTTGTTATTCTGGCAAACCCTTCATTCTAACGCAAACATATTTAAAGCTGGGATACCTAACTTTCCAACCACAAAAAATGGATTGTGTAAAAAAGTCCACCTAACTTACCCACAATACCTAGTTTGTGCATGTGCGTTTAGCCTCTGTCATGTCTTAAAAATCAGCTTTTTCACACAGACAAGTCCAATAGAGATGACCACCCTCACTCAGCCAATCAGCTCTTGCCCCAAAGCCTCAAATAGTGACTCAAAAGGCTCTTACAAGATTGGAATTGTAATTTTAACATACTTCTATGTGGGGATATTATGGGGATTCCTATAGATATATATTTTTGTATTATTATTTATTCACTGGGATGATACGCCTCTAGAGATGACGTTTTTTTGTTTTCGAGGGGGTTCTCAAAATCACACCCAATGACAAGAGACATGATACAGTCAGGCAGACGATGAATAATAACACGAATCGTAAAGAACAACACAACACACATTGACTGGTGTGAATACATAGTGTATTATAAATGACTGGACTTAGGGCTTTTATTAATATTAATGAATATCCTCGGGTACATTTTGGTTCATACCTATGTGCAAAAACACTGAGTTCTGCAGGAATGACAAAATAAAGTCAGGTGCCCCAGCTTTAACTGCTGTTTTTTCTATTTAAATTGCTATTATAGTAGATTCCTTCAGTCCTTATAAAGATCTAAGGTCACATGTTTTCAAAGATCTACAATAATAAGAACAAAAAAAGGACATAATCGTGTATATTTGGGATTTTAGTGCTGAATAATGCCATGTGGGACGCCCCGGCTGTGCAACACTACAGCAGTCTTCTTAAAGGAAATTAAGGCGGATTTTCTACTTCCGAGTGGATCATCAAGACTATTGGTCCTCCGAATTGTCAATCATTCTGGTGATCGTCAAATAAAACCAGAGAGTTTTGTTCAAAAAGTGGAGAGGGCGGTTCTTTCCTAAACTTTTAAGTCTCCCTTCCATCTCTGTGGCCCCTCATCTCCTCCCACAAAACAATGAAAGTAAAAAAAAAAAAATCAAGGCTCATATAATCGCATTAGGTCAAGAATGTACATTGCTGCATACCAGGAGGTCAGCCGCTTACATGGTTTGAGCATTAAGACTGGGCTGTGGACCAAATTAGGGCATTGCAAAGACATTTTTATATAATCACTTTAGGATCAAACGAAAGGTGAAATCTCAAAGTGTCCCAGTTTTGAGAAGAAATACATGAATACTATTACTATCATGTGGATTGGGTTTGGTCAATGGTAACCTAACCGTGCTACAGTGAATTCCTAGTAATGTTATCAAAGTTGGGCTAAATTGGTGTGACTTTTTTTGTATTTTCTTATTTTACTTTTAAGGTGGTATTGTTGCCGTCGAAGGTTTTACCATTTTGCATTCGTATAGTCAAGTTTATGCCAGGTTTAGAGGTGACATCTGCGGAGAGGCATTACTGTAAACCAGCCATTCCCAAACTCAGTAACACCGAGGCCCCCTTAAAAATCTGACGGGTCTGCGTGGCCCCCCAAAATAATAACCAAGAAGACAACATTAAGAATAGGCTCTTCTGGTTATTTTATTTTGGGGAAATAGCCTCTGCTACAAACATTGTAATACAAAAATGATTACAGTGGATTATTGATGTCAAATAATGAACACAAATATTTTAATATTACAAACAAAACATTATAAATTTAACATTAAATAATTATATTATTTTTTTTATGACCTCCCGCGGCCCCCCTGCAGTACCCTCGCGGCCCACCAGGGGGCCGCGGACCCCACTTTGGGAGACACTGCTGTAAACGAATAGATGCGATGTTGGCTAACGCTGTATAAGGTGCAACATTTCATGCAAATCAAGGCAAGTTTTTTGTATGGCACAGTTCATACACGAGGCAATTCAAAGTAAATAATCACATGCTGTCCTCGGGTCATAATGGCATCCCGAGGACCGCACAAGGGCAAAAAAGAGTGAAGATACAATCCGTTAGTTGTATGCACAGCTAAACCGGTTTTTAATCTGGACTTTCAGGAATACTTTTTACGATATTTGTTGCCATTTACCATTTATCAACTCATATATATATATATACTTGGAATCCAGTATCTTATGTCTGTTATGGTGAGGGTATTGGACTTTGCCATTTAAAAATATAAGCTTTCAAAACTGAAGTCGGTTCCTTGTGTTCCACACCATGTGCATTACGTAATGGTACAGAGAAGCCGGGACATCTTGCTGCTGTGTCTGCTGATAAGAGCTTTCTGTCATACTCTACAGTAGTCAGGTTTTTTTCTCTCGCTTGTAAATAGTTGAACTGAAATGCGGAAAAGGGAAGTTTGCCGTGTGAATTTTAGTGTGTGGAAAGCACAAGGGTAAACTCAAGGTTGAACTCAAGACTCAAGGAGGTCACTGTGTCCTGTGCGGAGCGACGGCACCTGCATGAGAGTTCAAATATTAGTAACAAATGTGGAATTGAAGTAAATATAGACATATGTGTGAAATTATTACATTTTATTATTTGTTTACCGCAAAATATGAAATAATAGCCCGGGCTATTAAGTTGAGCAATTTCCCATAAAAATATGACTTGTACTAAATTCAACTAATTATGTTTTTCCTTCTTTATTATGCTTTTTTGGCTGGAGCAATTCATGATCCAAAATGTACCGTAATTAGTTCTGGGCGACAGTGGCTCAGTTGTTAGAGCATTGGCCTTTGGGCCTGAAGGTCGTGGGTTCACTTCTACTTCACAGCTCCCACTAATGTCTGCTGTCATTGTGTCCTTGGGAAAGACTCTTAAACCCACTTTTCCTGAAGCCCCTGCTGAAAGATCTCAGCTCCTGTGGACTCAGCACCTGCAGAGGATCAGTGAGGGGCTGGTGCTATGTGTACTGGGTGCAGCTCTGACTGCCACCCCCCTGACCCAGAAATGGATTAAGGGGTAGAGGATGGATGGATGGATGGTTAATAAACTATTGACTAAAATTGACTAAACTATTACCAGTTTTCACATTCATTATTGGCCTCTGTCAAATCCTGAGATCCTTGTAAATGTAATATTGCAAATAATTACCCGTCAAGCTCTAATACCCTGCACAAAAAAGACTTTGATCAAACTTTTCAGGTTTAAAACAGACTCAGATATTTTACACAAGCAGGAGAAGAAGAAGAGGAAGTTGTATTGGTTACATTGTACTCTTTCCAGTACATTTATGAGTTCTTGGTGGACAACATTTCGGAAATATGTAAGAGGTGTGATAAAACAAAGGAGTCAAAAAAATGGTGTTCCTGAGACTATGAGGTGAGAATACTTTTTGGTTTGGACACCTCCATCATAGAGCTTTGACATCTCTAAGGCCACTTCTTTGCTGACGTCATTGCTTCCACACCATCCACCGTTTGGGCATCTGCCGCGGACGTAACCTGGCAAAGGGCCTCCAAGATGGCCGCCTCCGCTGACCTGTGACCTTTCCGTCATGTGTTTTCAAAGGGCCCTCCTGTCGCTCCTTCTCCGGGCTTCTTTCAAACGCCAGTGTATTTCCCAGCCCACTGCCAAAAGCCGCTCTCAACTTGGCTAATTAAGCAAGAAAGAACCCTGATGGCGTCGCTGGCTTTTCAGTCGGGCACAATAGGGGCAGCCATCATACGTCCTGCCAAAAGGAGAGAGAGAGAGAGAGAGAGAGGGAGGGGTCCTCGCTGGGTATTGGGTTTGACAGAACCAGGCGAGCGGGAGGCTGTTGTGGGTCCGTCGCTCTGTGGAGGAAAGCGGTGTGGGAAAATAAGTGGCACCACGCTGACTTCGGACTGACGTAAAGTCTTGGATTCACTTTTGCATTTGCCGTGATGGCGACTTAAGAGGAACAAGTGATTTTAAATGAAAGGGAGGGTAGCAACTGTGCATTCTGTCATGTAGTTGTAGCAGCACTGTGGCGTTAAGTTAATATATATGGCATTCAAGAACAAATTACATGTTGTTATGAATAGAGGTTACCATGGAGATTTGTCATACAACTTCTACCCCGAAATCAGAATTTTTACATTGGGTCTGCTATGTCTCTGCAAATATGACTTAAATATGAAATGTAATGCCATACTGTGGAATATTCCAGACAAAACATTATTTCTAAGATGGATCAGAGGCATAAACTAGTCTTATTTTATTTACAAAAAAACCAGTCGATTTTGCAAAACATTTTGTCTGAATGATAAATGTAGCAACATTAATTCATATTTATAATATTCATAGTAGGAAACAAGTTTGAAGACACTAAGATGAGTTTTTTTGACACAAATAATTTAGTACACGTTACATACTCAGAAGAATGAAATGAAAAATGTATATCAGACATCATTATATCAGAGAAGTCCAATATTCACTGACCTTTCGGGATCTGAACAACTAATCAATTCAATACAAAAGAATTACAAATGTGCAGACTATTGTTAGGCAGTGGAGGAAGTGTCTCTACAGAATGTGGTGAATATATATATATATATTGTATTCATGCATTTTGGCGATTTGATTGGCCCGAAATAATCTAATAACTATCACAATAATTGTTAACTCCAGCTCCCAAAACCACATGCTCTTGTCTTTCCAGTTGAACTCATTTGTCTCTTTTAGAAACACTAGCGGCTCGTAAAGGAACTTCTTGTTGCCTGAAGATGACACCAGTTGCGTTTCCTGTTTGTTGACAAATGTTGATGTTCCGAGTCGCTCTGTGAAGCCTTGTCCCGTCACTGACCCCTGTGTCGTCCAGGACCCCCCGTCTCTCTCTCTCTCTATCTCCTCTGGGTGGTCCCTCTCACGCCGCCGCCTGACGCTATGGGGGCCACTGGTCGGCCTTTGTGCTCCCGTGTCGTTTAAGGGTCTGGGGGGTTACAACGGTGACGCCACACAATAGCGCTGTCAGCTGTGAAGAAAAAGGGGAAGTGGACAAGCCTTTTTATTATCAGCCTGGGAGAGCCACGGGTTTGCGCTGTTAAAAAAAAAAAAAATCACACGGGTTATTGTAGTGTCCTGTCCACGCCCACGGCCGACCCCCGACGTGTCAATCCGTCACGAGGTTGAATTGAGATTGTAAAAATTTCCTTCTTTCACGGCGGGTCGCTGTAATGGACACCGCGGACAATGTGGGTGAAAAGGGGGCGTGGTCTAATCTGTCAAAACAATTGGGTGTCTCTGTGTATCGACTGCATCTGTGTGAATGCGACCAGACAAGAGGCGAAAACAATCAAACAAAAATGTAGATTCTCACTCTAATCTTCTACACCCGTGATCGATTAATTGACTGGAAAATAGTTTTGGTTCTTGTGAAATCGGACTCTACTCTGGGCAGAGCAAAGTCCAATAGATTTTTTGACAAGAGTGAAGAGCTTGTCACAAAATTATAAAAAAAAATTCTCACCATTCTTAAAGTTTTCCTAGAATCCTTATTACTGGTATTCACTACAAGTTAATACACATTTTAAAAATAGACTAAATGATTCAAAAATATGGATTCAAGTTAAATCAATGTTGCCAGTTTTCTTATAGTTTGTAAGCGACTGAGGTGACACTGGATATTGAACTGTCTATATGCATATATGATGATTTTAACTTTTTTTTGTGTGAATAATAACTTTTTTTATTGCCTCATTTGGATCATTTTAGGTTATAAATGCTCCAAATCCTGCCTCAAGATGCAACTGTTACCATGAAAGTTAAATATTTATGGACAACGGCGATCTGCTCCTTATGGACCAGTGGCTCCTATGTGTTTGTAACTATTGGTACTACAATACTAACTGGTTTAAACTGGTTGACTCTCTGATCTGTGTTGGCAAATCAACAACTTTGTAAAGTGATACTGATATAGGGCTGTACACAAATAAAATTGAAGTGAATTGACCTGAATATTGTTGCTGCATAGAGGGTTGGGCGGCTTGGGATTTTTTGATTTTTCTGTCTTTGCACACAGACCAGAGCCAACACTGGCATTTTAAATAGTTTATATCCAAGCAAAGCCACACATTTGTAAAAGACAAAAGAAGAAATAGACCCAGTTCTTCCTCCAAACCAGTGAAATCAGGGAAAAAAAGTCCTCCTCTTCAGTCCCATGATTGGTAATGGTGTAACGCCCAGAGTCCAAAATGGTCCAGATTACAAAAAAAGCTGAGACTTCTGGCCCAGCTTTACGTGCACATCCAACAATTGTTTTATCAAGACTCCGTCCAACTTCCTCCAACGTATCAGTCCAAACTAATTGAACTTTGAGGTTGACATAACACTCTGTTCATTGTTAATGGGGTGAGAGGTGGTGGAGGCTGGACACTTGAGGCTTATCTGAAACCACTCACGATTCAGCAGCTCTTGTCTAAACCGTCCTCTTATCGCTCTGCTGTCAACTGTGAGAACTGCGGGAAAACTCCACCAAGAGAAAATAGAGATTTTTCCACTTGTATCACTGAGGATGAAGAAGGCAGAGGTTTTTGAAGTAGTACAGATATTCCAGAAGTGTTTTGACGATTTGCTAAAGGAAAAAATATTGAATGTCTTGGAGATTATGAGAACAATTACCACAAAAAAACTTTTATACTAGACCCCCGGACAAGGCTGTAAAGTTTGGGATTGATTTCATAGTCCAGACTTTAATGTTTGAACTGTAAAGCAGCTGTAATTTCAAACTACAAATACATGCTTGCAAGGGCTGCACGATATATCGAAAAAATATCGTTATCGCAATATTAGTGTGTGCAATATCCATATCAAAAAGATGTGCGATAAGACACATTTTTTAGTTTTTTTTCAGACACACATCAACATTCAACCAGAACAACAAACAAACACACATAAAATATATAACTAAATGCATTTGAATGACATTAATGTCGTGCTTATTTTTTGCTATTTGTCTCTTGCGTTTCAATGCAGATTACAATTTTAGGTGAAAGACAAAAATATCGCATTAATATCAATATCGAAATACCAAACCCTCAAATCGAATATCGCTATAATTTCCAATATCGTGCAGCCCTAATGCATACGTACATTCAATACTTATGGGAACTGTGTTGAAATCCATCCTAAACATTTCTCGCTTTCAAGATCGTTTGGTTCTTGCCACTAGTTTTCACCTGCATGTGTTTGTGGCCTCTGTCCCATCTTTACATCAGCTTTTTCAGACTGTAAACTGGTTAAGAGAGCGCACCACCCTGACTCAACCAAAAATGCTCCCACCCAAAGTGTCCACTCACAGGGCACATGTTACCAAGCTAAGGACAACATCTGGGGGTCTCATTCGCTCACTTTGTATTTCCAGTTTGGACATTTGGTGTGTACTAGCAATGTAATAAAGTGTTTTATGCATGCCTTGGCTTTGTATCTACATGCTTTTACTATTATATAACTTCTCTGCACCTTGAGCCAAAGCAAATAGCTAGTTCGTGACTTCATCTCACAGTGGCAATACAAATAATTCTGATTCTGAAAATGTAATACTTTTATGATAAGCGTTTTTCACCCAATCGTTTCGTTTTTATCCAATGACGGCACCAAATCACTAATTATGCGTTCGTTATTGATGATACTGTGGGGTTGGTTACACTTCAAAGGTTTCATAAATAGCCACAGACAAAGACCATATGCACCAAACATAAAAACAAAATGAAATGTAGACTGTTCCGGCCACATTTATAGTATGTCCTTGATAATAAATCTTGGCGCTGAAATATGCAGCCGTCTCCGCAGATGCCAACGCTTTATCTGTCTTTTATTGGACCTTGAGTAACATGCATTCTCAGATCTGACCTTGTAGCTTGGCTTCGTGGCGCCACACGCTCTCTCCGTGGGCACGCTTGATTTTTTTTACCCTCGCAATTATGCTTTCCAACAAATACCCCATCGAAATCCAGGTCACGCTCCAATTGCCTTTTACATCGACCCATTTCTCGAAACAAAATCCAGCCATTAATGCGGCCGTCATTATCTTGTCTCATTTCTAATCCTCTCAACTTGACTTTCTTTCTTTTTATTTCAGGGGAAAGTTTGCGGTGGTGAAAAAGTGCATCGAGAAGTCAACGGGGAAGCAGTACGCCGCCAAGTTCCTGCGGCTGCGGCGGAAAGGCGAGGACTGCCGTAAAGACATCCTGAACGAGATCGCGGTGCTGGAATCGGCCAAACTCAACCCCTACGTGGTGGCCCTGCACGAGGTCTACGAGACGAGCCACGATATTGTGCTGGTGCTGGAGTGGTGAGTGGATAAACGTTAGAGAAATTGGAAATCTGACCGGAAGTACATCTCTTCTTTACAATATCTATTCTCTTCTATGCACTAAAGGTGCGTTCAGACCAAACGCGATTTCTGCGGCCAAAGCGGCGGGTCTACATTGACACAACATGGGGGACGCGCGCCAAGGAGCGGCGAGAGATCACGCGGCGCGATTCGCGCGGCCAGAGCGGCGCGAATTCGAGCGTTTCGCGCGATTCGCGCGGCGTGTTTTGAGATGTCAAGCGTTTTGACGCGCGTTTCGCGCGATTCGTGCCTCCAACGCGGCCGCCGCTAGAGTTGAACAATGTTGAACTTTTTGGGAGAATTCGCGTGTGCCGACCAATCAGGAGCTTTCTCCTCCAGTGACGTAGTGACGCATTTCACTACCGGGAAAACACTGGTAGATGACAGTAGATCATGGAGGACACGCTAATAGCTCAGGTCGGTGCTCATTCTGAGCTATACAACACTGCAGACCACAGCTACCGGGACCGAAATAAAAAGGAGCTTGCTTGGAGGAGGGTTAGCGAGGTGGTTGGTGTCTCGGGTAAGTTATTTTAACTTTTCACAGTAAATATTTCCCCGCGAAAAAAACTACTACTTTCCCGCTTACGAGTTGATGTGTTTATTCAGTGGAAGTTTGCAAAAAGCGGTGGAAGAACCTGAGGGACACATATGCTAAGGAGAGCAGGAAGGAGAAAGAAAAGGTGAAGAAGAGTGGTGCAGAAGCAGGGAAAGGCCAGACGTGGAAGTACCTTGTGGTCATGTCCTTCCTCGAGCCCTACATCACTCCCCGTGACAGCTCCGGGAACATGCCAAGGCGAAGGGCCGAGGAGGAGCAGACCACAGGGTACAACCACCCAGAAGAAGAGCCAGAGGAAGCAGCAGCAGCAGGGCTGTCAGGTGCTGAAGGTCGGTGTCATGCAGCAAACAGAGACCTCGAACAGTTGGAAAAAATACATTTCTTTCCTTTTTATTACCCACATTTTGCTGACTTTTACATTTATATTGCTTTCTGTGTTATGCATTTCTTTTAATGCTTTCTTAACATCATGGCCAGGTGAAAATAGGCATTGGCTATTTTCAAACCAGGATAGATCTTGATCATGTGTTGTGTTAAATTTCACTTTTCCCTTTCATATGAACAAATCATTTAAATGTACATAATAATGTACATTATTATGTACATATAAATGTCATAAGCGCAATGTACACATGATATGAAATAATTGTATTTCTTGTTTTCTTCTGGTGCAGATACTGCCACCACCACACAAGGTGAGACATCTTGGCCTGAGCTGCCTGCTGCTGCTGCTGCTGCTGCTGCTTCCTCAGCCGGTTCTTCTTCTGTGAGGGCTGGACCTTCCCCTGCTTCTGCACCTACAGGTGTGGCTTTTTTTAATCATTGTTTTATTTTTATTCTTATTACAGGACTGTTCATATAAACAAAATGTTACTGCATAATATGCCAAAATTACCCAAGGGCTGTTACATCAGTGTAGACGACAAATTTACAGAGAAACGACAAGATGTCAAGGCACTACAGGTGGAAAGAAGCTTTGGTCTGATACAACACATCTTCCCTCTTTCTTCGATAAAAACATACTACTGAAATACCTTATGCTATAAAAGTACTGAACAAATACATGCAAAGGTTGCCACAAGATGGCAGCTATCCTGTTTAATGCAGACAATAGAGTATTACTTTTTTAACAGCCAATTTCAAATTTCATTGCGAAATACACTTCAGAGATATTAGTTTGTAACTGTCGAAATTTGTGCTTGTGTGAGTAATTTCATTGATAACTGCAATGTTCAAGTTAATTGTAACACAAACACACAACTTAAAAGTGTTTTACATGTGTTTAACTATGTCTACACACTCTGGCTTTAATACAGATATTATTTGCTCTCTTCATTTTGCTTTTTTGAAATACATGTTCCACTTTTTAACACTGTGATTGCCCTGTGTTCTTTGAAGGCCCACCAAGGAAGAGGGCTCGGAAGAGGCCCACGTCCGTAGAGCCGCCTTCAGAGTGGGAGCGGGAGCTGCTGGAGACTCTACGGACCAAAGCAGCCGCACCGCCCCACAACTCAGAAGAACATCAGTTCCTGCTCTCTCTCGTTCCTCTCCTGCAAAGGGTGGCACCAGAGTCAAGAGAATTTGTTAAATTCAAAATGTATCAACTTCTATATGAAAGCAGCACCGTTCTGCTTAATTTGGAACCATTGGCCAGAACAGACAGTTTTTTGACCTAAGGTGACACCTTTTGCAGGGGAGGAAACAGACATGTGTCCCTTTCCTCTTCCACCGCACCTCCTCCAAGCAAGCTCCTTTTCATTTGTTTATATGTACATTTAATTTATTGTTCATTGTTTGTTCCTTTTTTTATAAAGAAAATATTTTTCAAACCTCATGTGTTCTACTTCAAGCAAACCATTACTACCTTTCATATAATACTGACAGAAAATGCTATTCTATATTTGTACATTTACTTTAATAAGAGCTGACTGGGTTTTATAGAAGATGAAATAACTAACACTTAAAGAGCAATACATTAGTTGGCAGTATTTTTTATTCATTTCACCTTTTACTGTTTTAACAAACTTGTAATTACGGAAAAGCTTGAATGTGCATATGATTAACCTGAAGTTGGAGTGGAGTCGCAGTGGAGTCTGGCAGTCATTACCTAGAAACAGAAGGTATACAGGTGAATAGAATAGTGCAAATCAATATGGGTTTGGACTATGGCCAGAAAAAATGTAAAGAATTTCATATTCAAGAGGCTCAGCACATTATATGTCAGGAATGAAGTTAGGCTCTTTGTATTTTGTGGGTGGCTCTGAAAAGAGCCGTTGTGGGTCAGTCTTGTGGTGGACATGACTACTCTGTGGGCTGCCACGGCAGTGCTCCCTCCTCACTGAAGTGGGCCATGAACACCTTCCTTATGTCCACTGCTTCTCTGGTCGCGTTGTTGGCGCCCATCCGCTGCACGCCTGGAAGTGGTTCTTCACCGGCAGCAGCTCCCCTCGGTGCAGGAACCTGGCCATCTCCAGCCATCCTCATGAAGTTGTGAAGGACACAAGTGGCCTTCACACACTTCTCCACAACTTCTGGGGAGACTTCCAGGTGACGGCGAAACACTCTCCACTGCGCAGACCAAATCCCAAATGCATCCTCCACCACTAACCGGGCCGGGAGAGGCGGTAGTTGAAGGTGCGCTGCTCTGGGGTAAGGCCACCACGTCCAGGGAAAGGGCGCATTAAATTGCGGCGCAGTGGAAAGGCCTCATCTGCCACGAACACATGGGGCTGGGGTCCTCTGTGGTCAGCTCCAGGTATGCACTGGTCAGGAGGCAGGTCGAGTGTGCCCTCCGCGCAGAGCCTCACCAAAGGCAGAGTTGGCCATGATGCCTCCATCGCTGGATCTGCCGTACCCTCCCACATCAATGACCCTGAACCTGTACTGGGCATCCACTACAGCCAGGAGCACAAGGGAATGGTGCCCCTTGTAATTAAAGAACATGGACCCAGAGTTGGGGGGTGCCTTCACAGCCACATGCTTCCCATCAATGGCCCCACAGCACAGAGGGAAGTTCCATCGGACCTCAAAGTCCTGCGCTATGGACCTCCACTCCTCTGCTCCAGGCACAGCCATGAACTCCTCCACGAGGCAGTCCCAGATGGCTGCCACCACATCTGGGATGAGCATGGAGATGGTGGATATGCCCACTCTGAAGCTCCCCGCTATGGTCCTGTAGGAGTCCCCAGTGGCAAGAAACCTGCAATTACAAAATGATATGAACATATTTATCACAATTACATTCATAAAAATCACGTGACAAAACTTGTGTAGCATAAAATACGTTAAACTAGTAGACAGTAAACATCATAGACAGTAATCATAGACACCAAATTGTTGCATAATACTGTTTTCTGAGCTATTACATTGTGGATTGTGATTGAAAAATGACAAACTTTGTAAGTATTTATGAATTCTGAATGGGGTAAAAAACACTAACCGCAGACAGATGGACAGGCGCTCTTCAGCTGTAATAGAGCGCCTGTAGTTGGTGTCCTGGTAGGTGATCCTTGCGCCAATGCGGGTCAATAGGTCGTCAAACTGGGCCAGGGAGAGACGAAAGTACCGCTGAAAGCGACCCTCATCCGAGCGCAGCTCACGGAGCAAATGGTGAAACTCACCAAACTCCAACCGTCTACGGACTATCTGGTGAATCCAGACACGTCGTCGATTCGCCCTTTGACGACGCTGTCTGGCTTTATTTATCAGATAAAGCAACTCCTTCGCTGACATCCATTTTGGGAAGCTACAGGCAAAAGAGACAAGCCCCGCCCCTAGACGCTCTCAACGCTCTGTGACAGCGGCTGCCCTCTAGTGTCCTGGCCGCGCGGCCAAGTTTCTCTGTGACAGCGGCTGCCACAATTTGTCACAAGCGGCTCAAGCCGCGCGATATACGCGATTTGGCCGCAGAAATCGCGTTTGGTCTGAACGCACCATAATGAAGGGCGTATAAGTAACATAAACTAGTCTCCACTTCTCAAAACTCAAAACTTCAAAACTTAGATGGATTTCATTATAGATACATTATTTGTGGTTTAAAAGTTAGTTTCCCCAGAAGTAATAAATGATGGAGAAAAAAAAATCAGTACTGCAGATCAAATCAGTGATGGGATGCAATGGTGAGAATACCATGTTAAACTTCTTAAGCACTAAAACGTATGAAAAGTATAAAACGCATATGAAAAAGTATATATTATCTTTGTACGTCACTGTTATGTGTGTAAATGTACGTAACTGTGTGCTATAATTTACTCTCATAAGTATTTCATGTCAATTCCTACATTATATTGAAATGACTTTGTGTTTGCTGTTGTTAAAGAAAAGGTTTGGTTGTCGTTGGCAACGGTTGCATCTTTTCCCCCTTCACCAGCCCCTGATAACTGCAAAAGCTCTACTCTGA